TGTGTTGTTTCCTATACCTTTCCCCTTTTTTAAATAAACCCTTTATTGATCCTTTTGTGTGTGTACCTGCAGTTGTGAGTGCGCAGGTGAGGCCCCACAGATAGGTGGCCCAGTCCACTCTGGGCTACCCTATAATATTATCTCTGCACCCTTAGCTGTCATCTATGACCTCAAATGATGGAGTCTAAGCAGCACTCCCTTTCCTGTTTCCTCTTTTGCTTCCTACTTCTGTTTCTATGTTTTGTCACCTGAAAACCTACTGTTTCAGATTGTTTCTCCTGATATTGATTTAACAACATTTGCTCAGGATCCTTTTTCTATGTAAAATAAAAGGAACTATTAACTCAAAATTAAAAAAAAAAACCTAAAATCTGTGTTTATATCTTATTAGTGATCAATTAATAAATCAGACTAATGAAAATGTGTTATTAGAAAATGGTTAAATTATATCTAACAGTAATTCAAACCTTAATGATCAAATGAAATTTATCTTATTTAAATAAAAATGAAGATTATTGCAGCCAAAATCTAAACACAGAATATTTAACCTTTCTTTGCTAATGAGTTCTTTTTTCCTAACCCCTGGGAAACGGCTACTTAAAGACAAACATTTAAATGTCAAGCGGAAAACAAACCATGAACAAATATATTACTGATTTTGTCTTTAAGTTATTTTTGCAATTATAAGGTCTGTATAAAACTTACAACACTAAATTCTTTTTCAGGAAATTTTAGAATATGTATTTGAAAATACTGATGTTATGATTCTGAGTTCTCATTATTTGGGTATAGTTGTTTTTTCTCTTTGACTCCATTAAGCAAGAGTAGCATACAACAATAAATATATCTTTAAAGTCACTAACATAAAAAAAAAAAATGGCCAGCCAGTGTAACTGAAAGAAAACAATTATTTAATCTCAATTTTACTCTAATATTATATGATACTGTGATGTCTTTATTAGGACATTAATTAAACTGAATCTGTGAACAATTTAACACAAAACAAGAAAAATACCTACTTAGAACATCTTCCTCTCTCTATTTCCTTAACATTTAATTTACAGAAACACCATTTTGAGGTAAAATAACTTTTCACTCACCAATGTGGAGGCTTGTTGGACATCAGTCAAATCCCCTGAGGTCTCGGGTGTTCTCGTGTTGTTTGGGATTCTGTGAGGGTTACGAGCTATCGCTTCACACCAGCCCAGCATTTTCTCCTTCCTCTTATCCCTTTTCAATTTCTGAAATTCTGAAAATAATTTACATTCCCTGAAACAGGTCACTTATTTTAGCTGTCTGTTTTTTGGACATAATTGAAATTAAAGCAACAATTTAATGAAATAGCAATGAAGACATTTTATTTTAACCATAGTTAATGGAGAAGAAAAAAAAAAAAAAAGGAATATCCCAGAGTCACAAAACAATGAAATATTATTCATCTATTCAGAGCCCTCACATCTTTTATAACCCATTTTGTGCTACTTCTAGACGGGGAATCTTTACATTGTATCTAAGTATTTTTTCAGGGATCAGTCTTTATCACAATGTTTTAATAGTGGGGGCTAAGAACAAACCCAGCTCCTGATATATAGCTACATATTTCAGTGTGAAAATTTGCTTTTCTGCTGAAATGTCCTACAAATGCAGAATAAATTGAATACAGGCTGGTGACAAAGATTACTCATTTTGGCAGTGGTATGATTATCTCCTTCACAAAGTTCTGCCAACTAAAGAAGGAAAAATTTCAGTGTAAGCAAAGTAAATTAGGTGTATGACATCTATTACCAGTGCAATCGAATCAAAAATAGTCATTTAAAAATTTCCTTACTAGAGTATGCGTAAAAATATTCTACAACAGCAATCTTTGCTAGATTTCTAGGTCTTTTCCATTTTCTATTTTCCTGTTTGGGGGGATTTTGTTTTGTTTTGCTTTGCTTTGTGTTTTTTGTTTTTTGGTCTATGAAAAGTTTTATCAACAATGACTTTCAATGTAATGGGGAAAACATTGTTTCCCTTGTAAAGTTTTACAGCCTACTTTTCCACTTCACCAGCCTCAGTAATTAGAAATAGTTTATTGAAGGTCTTTAGTTAAATGCATTACACTGTCAATTAAATATCAAAAATAATGTGGAGTAATTATTTTTCACAGCATCCAAAGCAATTAGCAATCTGGCAGTTTGTAACATTTCAGGGATTCAAAATAGCACATTTCATAACACTAAGAAAAGTAACATAAAGAAAGGTTGCACTAACGGATTGATGAGTTATTACTCTAAGTGACAAGATACTCAAGTTAAATGGATCTGAACAATGTAAATAGAGAAGTTATAAAAATTATTAAAAAATAAGTCGAAGATACTCAATGGAATGGACTTCTTAATATAACTGGCAAGCTAACATGAGTGACTCATTCATTTAGGTGCTGAGCAGTGGTGGGCAGAGCTTGGAAACAATTGTTTGAGTACTCTGCAAATTATTAGTGCATGCTTTTTCAAATACACTGCTTGAGATTTTATGGAAAATTTTTACCTAAGTAATACAGAATCTGCATATACAACTAATTTGGACTCCACAGAAAGTAAATATTTCCTGTTTCCCAGTACCCCATCTCCGAGTTACTCATCAGCTTTTAATTACAATTCTTGAAGTATGCTAAGAGTAAATGAAATGAATATCTTTATTCAAAAGTAAGTAGTAAAATGATACATAATGACCAAAACAGTTTAATCAAGTATAAACAAATGTTCTACTAGTAAGGCATTTGCTACATATTTTTCATTTTAACTCATAATTAAACATCACTTTAGTACTTTTAATAAAATGTTGAATTCATTCATGAATAAGAAGCATAATAAAGCAGTCCACAAAATTATGACACCATCAGTATCCATTCTGGAATATGTTTTTTAAAGTAGCCAACTTATTTTCCAATCAGCATCTTAGATTAAATAAAACAGCCTAATTTCATTTGCAATCTTTTTGTGGTTATTGTGGTAACTCCTTATTCAGTCAACATTAATCCTTAAGTATCTATTGAACCCCTACCATTTTATAGTTAATGAAATGTCATGGAAAACCTATAAGACTAAGAATAATTTTATCTCCATTTGAGTTAATTCATAGCAACATTTTAGAGCATTTTATAATTCAAAACTGTTAAAAATATTCCTGGATATTTTTTGGTTTTGTAAATGTATCTACTCAACTATAAAGTGACTGCTTACTCCTGCTGATCTTTGATGTCTTTCTTGGAGTTGGTTTGTACAAAATCATTTCTGAATAATTTTGCTAAACTGCTATCAACAAATCATTGTGACAAGGGCCATTAAACTTTGGCTACACCTATTGGATTAATATGATAAAATGTCTAGTTTTCTTTTGCTTTTAACAGTTACTGAGTTCTACAATAATTAGTTAGTTTCAGTAAACCAACAAGTTAAAATACATGCTCTTTTTTACCTAAATAATTTGTTCATAGTAATCACCGAATATTCACCATGGAGAATGGACTTATTATAGTGGAAAACCAGAAAATATACATGATTCATGCTTATGGCCTGGTGCACTGGAAAACACTGAACATATTCCTAGGAAAATTTACAAATAAAGTTAGATGTATTAAATAATGAGAGAAATTAACTACACAGATTCACTTCAACTTTGAATTATATGAAAAATCTTTGAGACTATTTTAAAAAACCTATGATGGTTGCATTACTACAACTGAACATTCACATCATATTATGAGACAGAAATTTTGTCTAACTACTTATTCCAAATAATTTCTATCCACCAACTTCACTGGTGATTTTAGAGTCAAATCCTGAAGAAGCATGTTTAAGTGGCCAATCACGAAAGCATCATGGGTGTTGTCTAATTGAAAAGGAGAAAGAAAGGGGAAAAAATGAGAGAGCCATTGCCACACCCCTTAAATTCCTGTGGGTAAGAGACTGAAATAATTGTTCAAAACAATATCTCCTATTATCACAAAACACTTAGATGTTTGGCAACATTTCAAAGAAGTCTTTTCTGCACCATTCATGTTAATGATTGAAGAAATAATTTAAGTGATTTTAAGAGAACTAAGGAGCTAATAATAGTGTTGATTGCTGAATCTCTGCAAACCAGTATTCTTCTATACAGGTTTGGAGTACCCATCATATTAATAGGTATAAGGATGTACTATCAGTTCGAACGGTAGGCAAATTATAAGCATTTAAAATTAACCCTACAGCACTTTAAACACTAAGTATCATCAGTAATATATCCAAATAGGAAGCGGTCATTAAGCATTCATGTTAATTGCTATCTAACCACTGAACCAAGCTCATATGAAATGCAATAATGAGTAACTTATATAATGATCACAGGAAATTGAGATTTAACTAAGCTTAATTTTTAATATGCTACTTCAAGTAGATATTTAACTTAATAAATAGCACAGTACATTCTCTCTGAACTAAACTGAAAACAAATTCAAATTAAGAAAAAAATACAAGGTAATTGGGTGAATCTCATGGAGAATAATTTAATTTGGGAAAGATTTACTAAACAGTTCCTTTGTGCCAGATACTACATGGAAGCATTGGCACAATGATGAAAAGATCCAGAGCTTAGAGTTAGCTGGGGAAACAGACAAGTAGACCAACTTTTGATAACAATGCAATAAGCAATAGGAGGACCTTGAGAAGACATATGACTCAGAATCAATAATGAGGAAGTTGACTTTGAAAGACTGCCCAAAAAATTAAATTATAATTAAGTTACATGCTATCATGACTTCCAAGTTCCTTTCCATACAAGCTTGGTTGTACAACTAGAGGGCACCAACCTTCAATAACTTAGAGAATGATCAAATTTGAGAATAGCTCTGAGTAAGATATCAATATAAATTATCAAGGGGACATTTTAGAAATTTAACTGTGTATTTATTTGGCTAAGAATAAACTCTCAACCCATTTTGTTCTCCCCAGAATACTAATGACGATTCACTTCTATTATGAAATAACTTGCAAGTGAGATGGAAGAGACAGGAATGTGTTTCTCATCTTCATTGAACTGCAGTATCTGCAAATTAAATGTTGGTGGAGAGGTGTCTCTGTTTGTGGCTGTGTGTATGTTTTCAAAAGCACCCCTTATATATTCAGATATTATAAAAAGCATGCCTAAAACAACCGTTGGGAAAGAATGGCCTGAATGAAGGAACTCCAGAGGTGTGTGGTCACCACCCCGACTCCAGACCAAAGTCATCAAGACACCAGAAACTACAAATCCCATCAACATGGAAGAAAGGATTGCTGGGACCTGAGGGTAGAGTCAAGCAGCCAGGTTTGATATAAAACCAGACCTGTGGGCCTTGGGGCTCTTCTGGTTTGGGGCTCTTTGCTTGCTTGCTCCTGCTCCTCTTGTTTCTTGGCTTACGCCAGCTCTCAGTGGGTAATTGGGGTTCCAGGTTGGTGGAACTGGTAGGACACATGACCAGTTTGTCACCGTCTTTCTCCCTGAAATATTCATTTTCTCATTTTTACAATAAACCCTTTATTAACCTTTTTTGTGTGTGCCAGCAGGTGAATGTTATTATAAGTCACTTTAAGCACACGGGTGAGGACCCACAGTCAGGCAACACATTTCACACCGGGGCTGCCCTGTAACACAATGATTGTTCCTCTAGAACTCTAAATTGATACTTGGAGTACTAAATACTGGATATTTAGACTCAAGAAATAACCAGTCTTCAAGGCATTGGATGAAACTTGGGTCTTTAGACCACATATAGTCATTAGACAAGATAACTACATTTGTTGAATACACTATTGATGACATGCAATGGAGGTGTGTCCCAGTGGGCCTTCTGATTTCTCTGAGGAGGGTGTAAGTCTTCTTTAAGGGAGAGAGAGGTTTCACAGTTATATTTTAGAATGTGAAAGACGGACAGAGAGCCAAATAGATAATTCTTGTTACAAATGAAAAAAAAAAAAAAAAACACAGAAGAAAATGTTGCTTTCTTTGAGTCAAGTTAGAAATTGGGAGTGACCACAAGGTGGCTCATACTGAAGGCTTAAATTCCTAAGTGTTTTCTGCTTGGTCATTCGGAAAAACATATTTAGCCTATAGTTGACCTTCAAAATTATTATTACTATTTTTTTTAATATTTATTTATTTATTCGTACAGAACTGGGGTACAGGCTAGAGACACGGAGGGTGAGAGGATTCACCAGAGACAGAATGGGGAGCAGAACAGGC